AGAAATGGTTACTTTCTAACAAGTTAACATCATCAAAGTCACAGTTGTCTATATGAACCAGAAGTGGTTCTGCCTTTTTAAGCACCTGTCAAGGCAAACATTCTCCTTACATTCAGGGTAGACTTTAAGTCAATAAGAAAAATATTTAACATTTTAGTAAACTGCCAAGCAATTAATAATATGGAACTACTTTCTCACCTGAAGTTTAAAAAAAAAAAAAACAGTCATTCCTCCAAAAAAGAAATAAAGGAAGTAATTACCTGACTTAAGCTTCCATTTAAAGTTAAAGGCCAAATCCCACTGGCCTCCCTGGACCAGTATCAACACACAAATCACCCACCTCCAGTCTGCTACCCATCTTGTTTCACGATGCTACTCTGATCTCCCGATTCTTTTCTTTTTTCCACACTGTACAACCCCCTTCAGTGCTCACAGCCCACAGATAAGGAGGCTGGGCAATGGTTCGAGGTGGCAGTTTACCCTGGCATGGGTGCACTATGAGAGAGAGGCCCACAAGGGAGGGCCCACCATAAATCCATTACCACGCTCGGCCTCCCGATTTTAAGAGCACATTTTCTCTCACTCCATCCCGTCAACAGTCCAAGTTAATAGGAGAGACAGCATCACTGGCCCCCCAACCCTCCAGAGAGAGAGGAAGAGGCAGAAGTGGGGTATTGGCTGAGTGCTTCCTATGGCTACATGTCTTGCTAGACAGGTCTTATGTCAGTTACTCCTTCTGAGGAAGACACACGGTCGTCACCTCATTCCGCAGAGGAGGACCGGGACTTCCAGAGGGGCAGTATTAGGCTGAGGTTACACCCTAAGTCGGGGAGTCAGGATTCAAACTCAAGTCTTACCACAAACTAGGGCAGCTTTCAAACCAAACGACAGTGCTTCTCGTTGTCCTAGGTGCTTTCTCCCACAGCATCTTCCCAGCTGATGGTCTGCCAGTCTGGGAAGAAGGAACTCTGCTTTCACAGGTAGAGGAACTGACAGTTTGGAGGTGAAAAAACCTGACAGAGATGTCCGGCACCATTTCTTTGTAGTCAGGGTGTTGACAGGAAACGGGCATTTGAGCTTTTGATGGTCTATTGATGATAATATTTGCAAGCTCAGTTTACCCAAAATAGTGATGACTAGCAAAAGCTTCTCAAGTGGTAAGGCATGGGAAGGAAAGGGATGGGCACTTGAAACATGACTTCATGTGAAACAGGCGGAGGGACCGGGCAGCCATCCACACAGTCCGGTGACTTAAATCAGGGCTCGGCGTTCACCGCCATAGAGCCCGCTGCCGCACACGCCGCAGCAGGTCCTCGCCGTGCCCCACACTTCCCACACACAGCGCTGGCAGGGCTGGCACGAGAGGTTCTCTGACTGTTTCAGCCTCTAGAACAGAGGTTTGGTTTTGTTAGTGAATCTGTTCAGAGGTCCCGCTTTCAACGAGCCTGGAGGATTCAGGCAGACGGGTGAGCCCGGCTTTGCCTTATTTAACTAAGCATTCCCTAAAACCACTTGCAATCTATCCTGGACATTTTTCAATGATCAGTAAGCAGACTTATTAATAATCTATTAATTGAAAACAGGTCACAGGTAGCATCACCAATTTGTCAAAGAAATAATATAAACATAATAATAACCTGATCAAAAATAGTCAACATTACAACAAAGCACATACCTAAGTATGTGTAGCCTTTCCCTCTCAATTGTATGCCTTCAAGAAATTAATCAACCACAATTTTAAAAAATACATTATTAACCAAAAATTATTCCAAAGAAGTCACTTTAACTTAGCACCACAGGCCAACGACAATCCAGTCTGCACAAACTGTCAGACACTGGGTGCTCCAGCTTAACCACAGCTGTAAAGCCACATCAAAAACAAAATCCTTTTCCAAATCGAATGCTAGCTTCATCTTAAGGAGTATTTCACAGCAGTTAGTCTCTTGAGGAAATACATAATTAAGTAGTTTTTTAGCATATTTAATTAGACCCCAAACTCTTCCCTGTCCCCTTCTCTCCCCAATTATGTACCATTTGCCCAAGAGACCGGAGCAACTCAGTTAATTATGTAAATAAGGCAAGCGTTATTCCCAGGAAGAGCATTGTGAATATTTGTAGGGGAAAAAACACAACATATTTTAGTGGCTTTAACAAACCTTTGGGAAAAAAATAGGACTAGCAATATACATGGGAAAACCTTACCATTTGAGCAAAAAGCGGAGAGTTCAATGACAAGATGGTGAATCATTAAAAAAGGACATTCATTTCACTTCTTAAATATGAGCTGAATATAAATAAAATAATTTTAAGTTACAACAGCAACAAAAATTTAGTGCTGAACGTCAAATGATTTATGGGGAGAATCAATCTGGAAATTATTAAAGTCGACTCTCCCAGAAAAGGCATTATTATCACAGGGTTGACATGATCTTAACTCCAGAGGCAGCCATGGTGCTGTTATAACTACTACAATCCCATTATTATGCAATCACAAAATGCTAATTTGATCATTTTGAGGTGTTATTTGAATAGTCATTTTAATTTCTAGGTTACAAAAAGGCTTGACTCAACTATAATTCTCTATTAATCATTGAGATGTCACTGAGTATCATATTGATGCATTTCACAAAGATAAAGAAAGACTAATTTAATATGTACAGTACAATATCCTTCAAATATTAGCCACTTTCATTACATATCTGCCAAATGCATCAATATTAAATAATAGATGAGAACAAGGGTTTAATTGTATTTTAGCAATTGTAATATGTAGGATAATAATAAAATAGCATCTCATCACAAGAGAGACTTATATAAATCTTTCTTAATCAGTGTGTAATGGTGACTGCCCCTTGCTCACACTCTTTTCTGATTACAAATAGACCTGATACGACAAAAGCATCAAGGGCCTTACGTGTAAACATGTATCTAGCAAAAAGAATTCCTTTGTGACTGAGGAAATGGCTTCTTTATATTTTAAAAAAATTTCTCCTTGTTACTTCAACATTCCATATACACCAAGCAGAGGTCACAACCTTCTGATAAATTCAAACCTGAGTATTTATAAAAGAATCTGATGGTATGTTGAGAATTCTAGAACATAATGGTTTAAAAGATCTGTGCTATCTTGTTGGCATAAAAACATTATCACCTATTAACTATTCCAGCAATTACCTCCCCAAACAATGAGATGGTTTCCGGCAATGGAAGCAAATTCCAACCATGTGACCTAACCCAATAGCTTCTCACCTGTCTAAATGAATCCACTGCAGTGTAGTATTTAAGAAAAAAATCCTCTACAGTCCAATTTGCCATTTCTAGAGGCTGACATTCTTGTCCCCTAGGGGGACCCTTCCTTCTCTTCACTGCATTCCAGGAGAAGAAACAGAGGAAGGCAGCAGGGGCTGGCTTCAAGACAAGCTTCACATCAGTGCAAGAGCTACTTTACTAAAACTACTTGCAGGTGTTTTTTGAAGGATACTCTGAGCACATTAGAATCTTTATGTTATTCATGCATTTTGTTTCCAGTTCTCGCTCCCTTTCCCCACCAACTTGAATAACCTCACGTGCCGACGCCCACACATGCTCACTTAAGCCGATGGAATCCTGCTGCATTGTACAAGGTGAAGTGTTTTGAAGCGAAAACATCTTGCTCAAAGATGACAACTCACAGAAGCAATATACAACTGGAACTTGAATATGAAAAACGCAAACATAAGCTATATGTTTATTAATTGCAATGGTGTTGAAATAAGACAAATTGTACCCAACCCCTCCAGGCAACAAGCAATCACTCAGCACCTCTATGCCACAGCCAGACAGCAAACATAATGGCAATAAATATAAAAATCAACTGCTACTGACTTCTGAAAGAGGCCCAGCTCAGCAGAGACACACAGAATGGCAGGGAATGTGGTGAGGGGGGCAGGAGGCACTATACTCCACCTAAAAATAGTGGCCATTTTTCTAAAAGGAAAATAAACAAACTAATGTTACAATCGCAAATTGTTAGAACAAACAGAAAAAAAGTCTCCTGCATAGCAAGTGTCAAAGGAGATTCCCTACAATGAAACAGTGGCAAGCAAAGCAACGGCCTAGAATTCTGAAATGAAGCTCTAACCTTAATTTCTGTAGTTATAATCAAGACTCAGACAAGACAATGCTGCCTCCCAGAACCACTTTCAAGGCTTTCCCAACACAATTAGACCTTGATTAATCACAACCCAACTAACCCAAACCCTTAAGTACACTTAGGAGATAAAAAAGAAAAAAAATACAGACATATCTCAGGACTGGTTTCATCTCAGTACTTCTGAACATTATTACTGTGTAAACAACACTAAACCCAATTCAGACTGTTTTACATCCTCAGACTTAGAAAATGTGTGACATTCTATAATTACTCTGAATCATTTTCTAAAACCCAGTATCGAATAATATTAATATTGTTATTATTATAATATTACTAACAATTCCACTCAATTGTGGTTTTACTTAAAGCAGCAATTTTCAACCTTGTTCATCTCATGGCACATATAAACTAATTATATTAAAACTGTGCGGCACACCAAAAATATATTTTTTGCCGATCTAACAAAAAATAGATACAATTTTGATTGATTTACAAAAAAAAAATTGTAGTTACCTACCCTTTTTACTCCAAAGTGACTTTTGAAAAAAGCAGGTGCCTATATTTGTATATACAGATTTCTGGTACCAAGAATTAACCAATCAGATGCAACCTTATTATGCAATGTAACCAATAAGATGCGAGTCTATTATATGACCTATATATTTTATGGTACAAAACGGGGCGCTCACACCGAATGGCTATTCTTGTGTTGGCTGTTGCCTTTTTTTTTTCAACTTGACAATCTAAGGGAAAAAGGGTCAGTGCCCCTACTACATGTTTTAAAAGTTCTTGCGGCACTCCAGTGTGGCGTGGCATGCCAGTTGAAAATCACTGGCATAAAAGGGACAAAGGCTTCATTTTTACTTACCTTGCCATCAAACTTGGAATACTCGTTAAAGGGGTTATTCAGTTGCAGCGGGCACTGCTCCAGGCGTACGGATAATATTGACTGCTTTCCAGAACTTGGAGGTTTTTCTTTGAGGGACTTTTTTTCAAACAGTGACTTTAACTCCTGGGCTGTGACACAAGAGGAAGACAAAAACATCTTTGTGATTACGCAGAGAGACAAGCCTGTCCGCCTTCCCTCAAAAGTCTTCCGTGTGACCTTAGAGAGGAATACATTCGTGTCTAATCTGTGCAAAACGCCTCGCACATACTTCAGCGTTTGTGCACTGAAAAACACGCAGATCAGGACTGCCAGTTTAGAAGGACTAGGGTTTAAGGAGGGGGCAGAGTCAGACAAACGAACCACACAGCCATTCTGTAAGAAGCACGCTCACAGCTAGGGGAGCTGAGCTCTGACTGGCTTTGCCACTATCAGCTGTGTGATACTGGATGATTCACTAAACCTTTCTGGGCTTGTCCAACTCAATCATCTTGAAGATCTCTCCTGGCTCTAATATTGTGTGATTTTGGAATTTTAGTTCTTCAAGGTCAAGGTCTACATCTTTACCCTCTCACAGTCTCCAATGACACCTAGCACAAAAATCGGGAAGACAAAGCTGAGGAGTGGGAGAAGGAGAAAGAGTATTATAATAATAGTAGCTGACATTTACTAAGCAAGCCAAAGTATCTCGTTTACTGCTCTTAACAAGCCTCGAGGTACATCGTAGCATTAACTCAATTTTGTCAATGTGGAAACTGAAGCTTAGAATACGTTATTAGCCCTAGGCCACAGACACAACCAGTAGGTGCAGAGCTAGCTGCGCACCCAGCCAGGGCTCTTGGCCATTAGGAACTAATGAACGAAGTAGACTCTCAATAAATTTTGTTGCATGAATCAATGAATAAAATAATTACTGAAGGAATTTTGATTCAATTACTCATTAGTAAACCAAGACAAGTTGGTTCTACATCTTCTTAAAGATCATTTAATTCTCTAAATTAATCTGAGTATCACTTAAGCTCGTAGCTCGATGATAAGTACATGGGGGTTCATTACACCTTTTATTCTGTGAATTTTAAGAAAATTTCACATGTGGTTTTTAAAATAAATCTATTTTAGACCTTACGTTCTGCAACAGGTAGGGTCAACTCCATTCTGCTCTTGAATAAAGCCCAAATGAACTGAGAGAAGTCAAAGAGAACTCTGAAACGCTCTCTTAGAACTCTTATGAGTCCCTATAGATTTTAAGTGGCAAATTCTTTTTTAAAATGTGGCACTTGATTATCCAGTTACAGATTCTGAATATTTAAGTCCACGTAATCAACAAAGAAATGTACAATTGAAAAAGCTTTAGATTAACGGTAAAGTGGTGTTTTAAATATTAGAAGTAGTATTCTACCTGTAATCTATTAACAATTTTATTGCCGCATTCGGAAAGGAATGATCCTTTATTAAATATCTACTATGGGCCAGGAACAAGACAAGGTATCTTTTCACCTTGGCTCACAACAAGTCTAAGAGATAGATTACAGCAAACTGAGGTACAGCAAACACAAGTAACTTGCCAAAGTTATACAACTGTTACCAGCAGGGTTAGGGGTGAGGTAGTGATTTAACTCTTCCATTCTTAGACTAATCCTCAACCTCTGACATTTTCCCTCTTCCTTCCTTGCTTCCCACACCACAGAGAAACAGAAACAACCCAAACAGAACTTCTGCACGCTCTCGCCACGCCTGCACTGCCTTTCCTCCTATCGCCGTGGAAGGGCCCACGCCCCCGTCTCAGGCCAGCCTCTCCTTCCTGTGCTAGGTCCTAGCCCCTCTTGCAGACTCGATTCTCTACACCTCTCTTCACTTTCAATGTTTCCTTCCTACTGGTTTAGTTGCATTAGCATATAAAGATACTGAAACATTGCTCATTAAAAAAATATATCCTCCTTTGATAACATACTCCCTTCTAGTTACTACCCTATTTGTCTGCTTCTCAAAAACGGTTGTCAATATGCTTGCTGTCCAATTCCTCCCCACCCCCAACCCCCGGGTTCAAAGAAACTCACACCAATCAGGCACCCGGACCCACCACACCACCAAAGCGGCTCTTCTCAAGGTCACCAATGATCCCGTTGTTGCTAAATCTACTGGACAATTTTTAATCCTCATCATACAAGTCCTCTTGGTGGCATTTGACACAATTCATCACTCCTTTCTTCTTGAAGCACTTTTTTCGATTGGTTCCAGGACTCCACGCTACCTGGTTCTCACCCTAACTTTCCGGCCCCCCATCACTCTCCTTGCCAATTCCTCTTCCGCACCTTTCCTCCAATCTCTGGCATTCTCTAAGGCATAGTATTTGGACTTCTCCTTTTCTCTATCTATAGTCACACCCTTAGCAATTTCATCCAGCCTTGTTTTGAATATCATTTATAAGAGGCAAAACTAAACTGTGGCAATGTAAGTCAGAACAATCGCCTCTGGGAAGTAACCTGACTAGAAGGGGGCGCAATGGAACTTACTGGGGGGTCTCGGAATGCTCCACACCTGATTAAGATGCTAGTTGTCAAAAGTCATCAAACTGTGCATTTAGCATCTCTCCCTTTCAGCACATGTAATGTACACCTCAATAAAAATGTAAGTGACGAGTGAAGGCCTGAATAGCTGCCCTCTGCGTGCTGATGATTCCCAAATGATTATCCCTAGACTTAAACACTCCTTAAAATTACAGGCTTGCATATCCAGTTTCTACTTGACACCTCCACTGGGATGCCCAATAGGCCTTTCAAACTCTGCACGGCCACACCCAACTCTTGGCCTTCCCCAAACCTGCCCCTCTTCTCACAGCCTTCTTCTCAGTTCATGGCAACTCGATCCTTTTAGGCCAAAAGGAGGGGGAAAAAAGAAGAAGAAATAGAAGAAAGAGAAAAAAAAACATCTTAAATTGTTTTTAGTAACTGTATTGTTAGTAATGACACTGGTATTTCTATGGTGGAACCAAGTTTTCAGTGTAAGAGAAAACATACATAAACATAATTTTTTTAAAAAAAGTTAAATAAACACTGTATCTTGAATTCAAATTATCAATGTTAACTCACAATGTATTTTTAAAAATTATTAAAAAATTATTTTTTTCTGAGCTCTGTGCCCTGAAAAGGCCAATGAGGCAGAGAACAGGCTGTGGTCTCTTAATGCCACTGACCAGCAGAAGAACCAAGATTCTTCGGAGAAATGGCTGACTGCTGACTTGGAGGAAGAAAGGTAGAAAAGGAGTATTGAACATCTTGTCATACAAGAAAGCAAGGAAGCTATGAAAGATTACTGAAATTGTGTCCAAAGAACTTAGAAGCCAATGTGCAAGGACTCACTAAACAAAGGGGCAATTTTAGCATTAAAGGAAAAAAAAAAACCTGTAATGAACTGAAAAATACAAAATATGCTTTAAAAACCCATAATTTCATAAAGATAAAAAGGGGGGAAACCTTTATTGTTCATCTAAATAGGATGCTAGAGAATTCTTTTGGTTCTGAAAAATTAATAGTTTTCCCTTTGCTGGTGCAAAGGGAAAGAATCAGCATTTACCCTGCCTTTACTGCAGGCACTATATCTAAGGATAACCAAATAATAGATTAGAGAAACTTCTTCCTTATATAAAACAAATTAATAAACGAAGAAAGACTGATACAATCAGAAATCACTATTTTGCAACTCCTAATGAAATAATGCATCTAGGAAATGCCCTTCATCGGCCACAAAAATCATCAGCTGACAAGCTGATGGGAGTAACTTTATAATGGATAGACAATACCTGACTCTGCCTCCAATCTTATCAAACAAACAAACAAACAAACAAAATCCATGCTTCCTAATGTGAAGCAACAGGAAATACAGATCAGCATGCACAAAACGTTCTTACCAAAAATCAAACTTCAGTGAGGAAGTTTCTAGTAACCACCAGAACAGACAATAAGAAGGACAGAGGATCGTATTAAATAAGACCCAGGGACAAGATGAGCAAAATCCAGAAATGTAGGAAATTCTATAGGACAAATGACCCAGTTTCTTCAGCTAATAATTACAAGGGAAAAACGTGAAGGAGAATCTATAGATAAAAAAGGAAATGAGACATATTAACCAAAAATGACATGTGGGCCTTAGAGCTAGACCTGAACAAATGAACTACCAAAAAAAAAAAAAAAAAAAAGAAAAAGAAAAACAGAAACGTTGGAAACAATCGAGGAAATATTTGAATTCCTGCTAGTTATTTGGAGAGTGACGGTACTGCAGTTTTCTTATGTGTTAAAAAAACATGTATTTAAGGATGCAATTACATAATAGCTGGGATCTGCTTAGAAGTCACCTGGGAGCGGAGGGGAGTTGGATGTATAAATGACTGGTCGCACGTCAACGGCAGAAGCTGGATGATGGTTGTGTGGGGGTCCACTATGCCATTCTCTCTACTTTTGTATATGTTTGAAATTTTGTATAATAAAAAGTTGTACTAAAGGCAATTTAAGCTGAAAATTTTAAAAGTAAGTAATATATCATATAATGACTCTGACCAAAGCACCTCACCCAGAGTAAATACTAAATTCCTTCCCAGATCTTCCATGAGCAAGCCTCCCGTTACTTACTCCTCTGATCCCACCCTTCCCTTCCTCACTCTCCCCAACCAGTAAGCATCCTCCCGTGCTATTCCTCGCACACTTCAGGCACACTTCTGTCGGAGACCCTTTCCTGCGCCCTCCCCTCGTTGGAGCACTCACTTCCCAGGATCCGCCTGGCTCACTCCTCCGTTTCCTGCACATCTCCGCTCAGTCACTGCCTTCCCAGTGAGTCCTTTCCTGGTCACTCTATATAGAATAGCAAATCCCCTGCCTCATTTCTTTATGCCCCTCGCCCAGCTATATTTTTCTCCAGGCTATTTATTCCATTCTGACACGTTACATTTGTTTGCGGTCTATTTCCCCTGTAAGCTCCCGAGGGCAGGGATTTTGTCTTGTTCACTGCTCTATCTTCTAGGCCTACAGCCGTGTCTAGCTATCCTTGCATACTGTAGGAGCTTAATAAATACTTGTTGGATGAACAACTCTGGACTGGAGAGGTAGGAAAAGTAGTTGAGAGGACAGGGAGCAGATCTGGAGGAGCCAGGAGAGAGCAGATGGGCACAAAGGAGCAAAGATAAAACAGGGGAGGCCGAAGAGCCCTTCCTCCTAACTCCCGGCCATTCGTAAGGCACAGCTGTATTTCCCGAGTTGCTCAACTTCAAGTTGCTCTTCAATTTCAACTTCACTTGCTTTTGTTATTTGCAACTGAAAAATCCTAACCAATATAAACACTTGGAAGTCCCCAAGAAACTCAAAACGGAAAAAAACAACAGCCTAAAAATGTAAGTATCAGGTTTATGAGAAAGCACACACTACAGCACCCAGGAAGATGAGAATGCATTTTAGAACTAATAAGGGTTCACTGAGTGGCTGCATACAAAACACACATACAAAAATAGGTTTCTTTATAAAAACAGGAAGGAAGTTATGGGGAAGAAGATGCTATTCACAAGGGTAACATGAAATACAAAACATCTGAAATAACCTTAATAAGAAATGTAAAGCCCTGGCTGGTGTGGCTCAGTGGATTGAGCGCCAGCCTGCAAAGCAAACAGTCGCCGGTTCGATTCCCAGTCAGATACATGTCTGGGTTATGCACTGAGAAGCAACTCATTGATGTTTCTCTATTTCTTTGCCTTTTCCCTTCCACTCTCTCTAAAAATATATAAATAAAAATTTTTTAAAAAGTAAAAAAGTGCAGGAACAATACAGAGATAACACCAAACACTGCATTTATGTAATATTTGTATGTATAAGAAAATACTAAAAAGATCATAGGAGGTATGATTAGAATTTTTTAAAAATATATACCCACATATGTAAAAATCTGGATATATCAAAATGTTAACAATAGGAGTTCCTCTGAATGACACAACTGGTCATTTTCATTTTTATATTGTTTTCAGATTTTCTATGATGATTTTTTTTTTTCTAGTAAAGAGGCTTTGGTAACTTTCCTGAACCCTGGCCATAGCTGACACACAGAGAAGAAAAGAAACCAGGAACACCAAAGACTCCTCAGTACTTGACGTTCCACGGGCAGCCCCCTTCTGGGTACACGCCAGCTACAGTACGGGAGAGAATAAAGCAGGGTGGGAAGACCAGCGTCTTTGACATAAGACTGGCCAGGAGAAGACTTCTGGCTTTGCCAATTACTGCTTGTTTAAGTAAGTGATTCGGGAAAGTTACTTAGCCTCTGGGCTCCAATTTTCTCACCTACAATACAGAAATATTAACAGCTAATCTGTTATGTTTGCATGAAGATGAAGCAAACTTAGTGGCTGGCATGTTACATACCAGTAGTCCTCTAAGCTCAGAGAGCTTCTGAAAAATACAGATTTATGGACTCCAACCTCCATCTACGGAATCCCACAGGTAGGACCCAGAAATCTACACAGGATGTCATTATAACATGCACTTTTGGATGCGGTGCTGATTTTTATACAGCCACTGCATCTGGGAACTGTTGTTTTAAAAACCAGTAACGGAAGTTACATAACAAAAACTTCAGAAATATTCGTAAGTAATTGATATAATCCACATCACTGCTCTGAGTTGTTACTGAACTTCACGTGTAAATAGCTTTGTCTTGCAACGAGACTTCAGACTTCCTGAGGACAGGGCTCACGTGTCTTCCACAAGCGCCAAGCAGCAGAGTCACCATGCACGCAGACGTTACGGAAAAATACCTGCTAAGTGACTCAATGAATAAAAGTAACAGCTACTTTGGTAAAGAATATACCAAGACCATTTAAAAACAGTAAAATTAAAAATACTGGGACCTTGATTCGACACTATTCCTGATCAAGCTTTCTTCTGATGACCATCTTCACATTTACTCATGCTGTTTCGGTTATGGAAATACTAAAAAGGATCTTACTCTAAGGTATTTCATTTATCATGAGGTCTCACGGCATATGGATCAGTATGTTCATAAAGAACTTCGGGGTATGGACCAGATGGCTTCTAAGATCCCTCCCAACTCCTCTATTAAAAGGCTGCGTTTATGCTGTGTCTTAAAGGACAGAGCACATTAGAATAATTGTGGAAGAACACTCCCATGGAGGTCATCATATTCATAATGAGGATTCTTTTAGTGGGGAATGAAATAAAACAAAGATTAAAAAAAAACAGTTATTTTGACAAAACATAAATAGCAAACAGAATGAAAAAAGAAATAAGTAACCACCTAACAAAATTTCTCAATTAAGATCGAAAGGCTTTGGCCATGACGCTTCTTGCCAGGAGAGAGAGATGTCTGAGAGACGAATGAAAACAGAATGGCTGCTCGGTTCACCCAGGAGACAGTCAGGGGGCAGCTGGCTCCACTTCTCTAGCGCGTTTCCGGATACCCAGAATGCCCAGCTGTGGTCATGATGGAACCCAGCTTCACAGAGAAGTCAAAGACATTCTCTTGTGCACTGATGAGGTTCACTCTAAATGTCAGGAGTAACCACCAGGTAGGCTACTGGTCTGGCAAGAATCAAGGTCAACATTTCAAAGCATGAACAGGCAGATTAGGAGCTTTTCCAGAAATAAGATCACGGGATCGATTATTGAAATCTGTGAGAGGCAAAAATAAGAGGAAAGAAAACTGAGGGAGAGAGAGGTATTCATATATAATGGATAATGTAGTTAACAAATGAAAATAAAAGGGGACTATTTATTTCTCCAATGTATTCTGTAAAACACTAAACATTGTTAAAGTAGATTAAACTTTAAGGGGTGAATGGGAGATATATCAAAATTTATTATATGTATGTAATTATTACATTATTGGATGTATCAAAATTTAAGTTGAACTTATTTCTCACATTTTAAAAGGGATTAACATTTGAGGCATTCTATCCATCCTATTATTTACTGATAATTTTTTAAGATAAGGAAGTGAAGACGACAAAACGAAGGGAAGCTGGAGAGACGGCTTAAATAACCTGACTGTTCATTAAAGAGATTAATAGGAAAATCATTAACATGTAAAAAAGTGAATAATATACATCATATAAAGGTTTTGCAGTCTGTGCTAAATACAACAGAGAGAAGTATTAGCTGGTTCAACAAAAAAGAACAGGCCCTGGCTGGTGTAGTTCAGTTGGTTGGAGCGTTGTCCCATTCAATCCCTGGTCAAGGCAATGCCTGTGTTGTGGGTTTGATCTCCTATGTATCCGTTGCCTTCAACCGATGAATGTTTCTCTCTCACACTGATGTCTGCCTGTCTGTCTGTCTCTCCCTCCTTTCCTTTTTCTCTAGAAGCAATGAAGAAATATCCTCAGGCGAGGATTAAAAAAAAAAGACCAGCCTAGAGAGATTTCTAATGCATCCAGAAGAATACAGTCCTGGCCAGTAGCTCAGGTGGGCAGAGTGTCATCCTGACATGGCAAGGTTGCAGGTTTGTTCGATCCCCTGTTCAGGGTACACACAAGAATTAAGCAATGAATGCATAAATAAACTAATTTTCCAAAAAAAAAGAAGAAGAATATATAGGAAGTCAAAGAAATTAGATGTAAAAAGGAGAAGTGGGATTGTAGCTTCTAACTTACTCATGATTTTGAAGCGACCATTAAGAAAATCAGACCCACTAAGCACTCAGGTTGCAAGCATCATAGGAGAAAGCAATAACCACTTAATATAGCACAGTTGAGCAGAAAGAGATTGGCCTTTAGATGCAGACAGTGCTAGACACAAAACATGGCTCTATACTGCACTACCACTTCCTAGCCCTGTAACTTTAGCAAGCTTAATCTCTTTGAGCCTTGGTGTCATCTGTCTCACCTAATCAGCGATATGCACGCCTTATAAGATTGGTGCATTAGAGGTAATGCATGTAAAGTGCTTAGAACAGCACTAGATAGGTGTTGATGTTAATGTAATAATCATTAATATTGTTAGTTTGATAATACTATGTAGCAATGGAGTCAGTCAACAAAAATTTATTAGATATCTATTAAATGCCAGGGTAGCACTGGGCGGTGCTGGAAAATACAGAAGACGGACTGCAGACATTTCTTTGAAAGAAGGAAAAAAGAGAAAGTGTAGGAAACATAATATAAACATTGGAAAATATTTTAACAGCACTTTATTTTGAATTTTTCTAAAGTCTTCCCTTCTTACTGAGATTGAAGCTTTGAAAATATATATTAATATGTATTTTTCTTAATATATTTATCATATGAACATATATTGCAAATGCTAATGATATCAGCAACATAATGGTTTTAGGGTAAAGGAAGAGAACTAGAAATATGCAAAAAAGATGGTTGCTGGGGCCACTCAGAAGGCAAGGTCAAGTCTAGGCTGGAACTGCCAGGAGGAATCTATAGCCCAGAGGCCCACCCAAGTCAAAGGTACTCCTTGGCTATAAGAACAAGGTACTGGCACAACAGTTTGTACAAAATGTGCCTGCCCTGCACCCGTCAATTCCTGTGACCCAGAATAAAGAGTGGCCAAAAAGCTAAGACCCAAAGAACACCCAGCTTCAGAAGACCAAGGCACCCAAGTGAAAAAGTTCAAAGTTCAAAACACAAAAGGTACCTGCCCAGAGGGTTTAAAAGAATGATTTAAAAATAAAAGCTCTTATACAATAATACACACTAAATATATAAATCTCAAGTTAACAATTAAAATTATTTCCATTTACCTGATTGCTTAGAATTTCTTTCTTTCCACTGAATATTTTTGCATTTGATCTGGTTTTGTCTCTCTTTTCGAAGTCGTTCTAATCTTTGAGCTTGAAAAGAAATATTATAACTATAAGTTTGTCAATGAAAGTTTACTATAAACAAAGACATAATTAACTACCTTCATATGAATAAAGATGTTTTATATTTCATATGTAGGGGAAAAGTCATAAAATTTTAAAGGTGGCACCCCTGAAAAGCAAATACCAACAAAAACATGAAAATATTCTTGATTTATAATTGAAATTAGAGGATATAAAACATTAATAGAGATCATAAAGATAGTATTAACATGGAAGAGAATAATAAAATGTGAAAACTTCTGTGATTAATATGACATTTCATTATATAAATCATTAATAACGGTCTTAAAGGAATTTTAATGCACAAATGAACTGAAGTGAATATTACATTACAGGAATAAAATTACTGTTATGAATTACTCTACCCGTTTCAAAAATTAAAGATAAATGAACTCAGACTAGACTATTAAAGTTTTAAATATAAAATCCTTTATCTAAAAATCATGAAAATTATAAAATGTCAAAGCTATATAAATTAGCATAGCTTTTCTTCAGTGGGCTGAAACAGTTTATAGGTAGTAAAATAAATGATTTGTATCTTTGTAACATTAGTCAAATCTTAAAAAGAACAATTTTTCTTATACAAAATTTTAAGATATGCTGAAAGTATTAAAAAGTAAATTCCTTGGTCACAGGATACCCCACAATCTTAATTAATTATTAGCATCTAAGTGTTATCTTAAGAAATTCCAACAACAATAACAAAGTAGCACCTAAAATTATGCATTTGTGATTACCACAGGCTGACAAACCTTGAAAAATCAGGTGAACCATCTTTTAAATAAATATTGTCCAGATACATTAACAATTGCTGCATAAGGAGACCACGATGACAACGAAAGTCACGATTAATGCCATCACCTGAAATTAGTCTCCTCTTGCACTTCCTATCTTGGCACATGCTAACAAAAAATAAATAAAATAAGTAAATTTCTCTTTCAAGGTAGGAAATCGTACACTTCTGCCTTAGCACCGTGGTAGGGAAATACAAACTTATCTTGCCAGAAATTTAAACTATGCTGGCAAAAGCATTCTGACAATGTCACTATATCTAACCAAATCCTCCTCCATTCAATTGCTAATAATAAATGTGAAGGGTAAAGCCAAAGTAATATAATCATGAAGCTCTCAATTGAGCAGCATTCTCCTACTGAAATCCATTCAACCTGTCATATAAGATATCATCTCAATAACCTACAAGGAAGTCAGTTTCAACTAGAGGACTGAGAATCAATGGTTCTAAATTATATTCAAACCTTCACTCAAATCCTATTTTGATAAAAGTTCCTTTAGATACTAGAAAAATGCTATTAATTATTTTCATCATGAGAACAAACTATTCTTTGTGGATGTCACAGAATGCTGAATTCTGAACAAAAACCTTAATGTGCCTGTCCCTGTAAATTGTATTCTGCTCTACCTGCAGGCTCCGTCAAGTATACTTTACATCTGGAACATGAGAGTAAACATGTAAATATTTTCCATGTTCTACTACATTTCCTAGGAGTTATCAGGCTACTGCTACTGATTAGATATTTTCTGGTGACCCCTGCCCCTCTCAAAAATCTCTTAGAATACCCTGTCATAGCAGAACTACCTTACATATTCTAAATAACTTACCTAAGTAAAAACCTTGGTCCATCACATCTCCCTTGAAATGGTTTCAAAAAAATATAAACTGGAAAATGGACCATGATAAGCCTTGAAAAGCTGATGACTAAGTATGTATATATATATATATATATATATATATACCCCCCCATAGCTGAGCACTTTCATGCCACAAAGATCAAAGTGCAGAGATCAACTTAAGAAAATAAAGGAAATGTATCGAAAACAGGAGCACCTCTTCTAATCTCACACCCAGTGTAGTGATTCCTATTAAAAACAGCCCTAATAAATACTCAGCTGTCTCCCTCTAGTCCCCCACCCAGCAATCCCTCCAGGGGCAAGAACGGTCTCAGGCAGCGTCCGGCCTCTGCTCTGCGGGTCAGCTGCCCGTGTGAAAGGTTCTGTACTGTGCCAACCTGAGACCTGCCTCCAGGCAGTTACCTACTGGGACCGACGCTGCTCTGTTGAAGACACTCAAATCCATGTCCCTTTCTACAGACTTTTTAGAGCAGAACATCCAACGTGCCCCTCCTAGTCAACTTTTTCACTAGCCTTCTTCTCCCTACTTTCTTGCTCCTCTTCTGGGTCTTTCTAAGAGCATCATTCCAGGCTCTCTCCTTTCACAGTCGTGGAGATGGGATCTTGCTTAGACTCACTCTTGGTGTTTATACAGAGACTGAACCTGGTCCAACGTAATGCATTGTTCTGTAAGACTGTTCACTGATTTAAAGCTCGGAAGACACGACTAAAAGGAAATGTTTATTACCTGTATTTGAGCGTCTTCTAATACCAAAGTCCCAGCTTGAGGTAATATCGACTGACTGGGCATATACATAGCCCTGAGTCTCACCATTGCTTCCCTGAATTTCTGACCCACTGTCTCCAGGCATTGAAGGAGGATGAATCTTCTCTAGGTCAACATCATGATCAATGAGAACCATCTCACACATTCCTGTGTCATCACTGGTCACGTGGGACTGTCGAATATGAGCTAGAATGATAGTTGGATTGTCCAAGAAGGCCATCCTTTCTGTGGGCCAATTTCCTTAAAAGGCTATTTTCTCCTCTTCATATTGTTTCGAGGGCTCACCTACCTAGAAACATGATGTACACAGCAATATTTAAGAATAAGGCAGAAAATGACTGAATCATTTCACAAACAAATTCAGAGTGGTAAAATGCTACCTTGAAAATCAACATTTATCCCTGTATCTAGGAGCTTAAAAGGATTAAGTCTAAGCTGAAAGGAAATCCTTGTAAGCACTAGGGGATAAGGCTCTAGTCAATGAGTATTCTACCTATCAAGAGGAGGTGGCTTGCTCTCTTGCAAAACAAATAATAGTAACTCCTTAGTCCACTCGAAACATAGAACTACTGTTAACACAATAAATTTTCCTTTCTTTCTCTCTTTATTCCATGCAGTCTTCTCATTACTTTATAAAGTGACAGAGGAACATGCTGTACTTTCCTCAAATGATGTGCTAAAGTATGAAATTATATTTCTTCTGTTCACAACCCCTACCCCCATCATACAGTTGTGAAGTATCTAAAACAGCACAGACAATGCTTTCTGAGTTGCTGGAAATTTTACAAAACTGTACCACCAAAGTAATTTCGTTCCATAAATATATGTTTCTTTCTTCTGATTTACTGTGCTTTAAAAATAAAACTTATTAATCAAAATTGTCTGTTACCAGATTAATTTCTTATTTTAGAAACCTAATTATAAGAACTGCTTCTAGAATCCTGTTAAAACTGCAGTGCTGTTTATTCTGGGGACAAGATGGTACCTCCTCAGTTCAATGACAATACTCAACAAAGAAAATATTACAAAATAGTGGTTAAGAACCTAAGGCCCTACAGGCAAAACCAGGTTCAAATCCTGACACCCTTCCTTGCTAGCTACATGGCCTTGGTGAAAACAGCATTAACCTCTTTGGGCCTGCCTCCTCCCTCATTTGTAAACTGAAAGTCTCACTCAGGCAGTGGAAATGAAGCGCTCAAAAGAGTACCTGGCACGTAACTAAACAGTAGCTGCTATTAATGATGGTGGCAAAAATATCATCACCAATTTTAGCTTTCAATTTTTGTTCAAAGTGATCCTAAAAAAAAAAAAAATCAAGAATTTGCCCTTCTTTAGTAAGTTCACAGAGGGTAAAATGAGCATGTGCTTCCTTCGTGACAGAGGACACTGCAGGTCACCTGAGTCACCTCCCTGCTTCTCTACAATCCTCATGAAGTGCAAGGACGTGAACGCTGGATCGAACGTGCGCCCTCAAACAGTCCTAGAATTTATTTCTAGAAAGATCTGTAACACCAGATTTCCTTGTCATTTGTTTCTTCTAGAAATGGAACATGGGGAAAATCTAGGTAAGAAATCACTATAGCTTATTCAGGTTTTAAAATATTTTGTCTGATAACATATTCTATTGATAACATATTCTATTGATATCACTTGATGGATCTTGAAATAAAAATATGGAGATTACCTGAATTACATTAATCTTAGTTTTTTTTTTCCTTTAAATATATTCACTCAGTACTTATTTTACACTGAGGTTAGTGGGGAATGCCAAGGCTAGTAAGGGTTCCCTGAATCCAAAAGCGGATACCCTCCCACAGGCACAGTGTATCTCTGAGCATAGCGGAGTCTTCTAAGTGTCAAGTTTCTGAGGCACTCGGCCTCAGGAATGTTAATGTCAGCCCATCATTGTATTAATCAAAAATACATTACAGATTGAAAGGGGAGCATTTAAATTTCACGTAAGAAAATAAAAACTTCTAATATAACCACAAAAAGATGTATACAACCACAGAATTACTTATAAGGGAGAGAATTTGTTTTGTAACAGAACCACAGGATCACGGATTGCCAGCGCTGCCAACATCCTCGTAGCAACCCTGATAAGAGTCTTCCCCATAAAAGGAAGGCAACCGGATGCCAGCAAGAGGGGCAGGTACTTTCAACTTCATACTGAATAGTTCTGTCCTGCAAAAAACAAGTGCTTCAGTGAGGAACCAACACATTCAGTGGGTGTTCTGGCACTAAAAAGGCCAAGGGCAAAGCAACAAAAGTATACTGAAGTACACGGAACAGGATCTTTTCAAGAAAAATGGATTCGCTCCATCTCCTCTTATGAAGGAAGGAGTTACGGGCAGGCACACACCAACTCCCTAACTTTATCCTTACAGAACGGAGCCCTTAAAACACCCAATCACGAGCAGATATCTTCTCTATTAATACAGTATGACTTCATACAGGAAGGAATCTGTACGATTCACTCAAGAAATAGGCATTCAATACCAGCTCAGATAGGGAACTCCCCACAGGACTGCCGGGGAAACGTGCTTCGCACCTCCTATGACATGTACTTGAGGATTCAGACTGTAAGTCCCACAACAACAACAGGGGCTATAATACCACATTCCTCTGGCAGCAAAGGATTTTACGCATGTCGGGAGTTCAAGAAATGTTGCTGCCTGACTTCCACGGACTATAGAATTCTCTTGTACAGATTAGACATATATGAGCACGTCATATGTAGGTTTGATTATAAAGAAAGGTTGCCCTTTTTCCATTCACACAGATCAAGAGCTTCTTCTCTTCATTGTGCCCTTCAAAACTGTCACCTTGGAACACTTTTCCAACACTACTTTTCAAAACCAAAGAATGTGTTTTAAATCACTTTAGGAGCAGCAAATTATCACCTGAAAGTATATTTAATTGCAAAGACAAAGATAAAAACAAGTTATTTTCTCTGATCAGTTGTGCAAAAATTAAAGATGCTTAAAATCTAATGATGCAGAGGTTCAGAAAAATGGGACTTCTCAGAGGTCAATTTGGGAAGATGGAAAAGTTCTCTAGACAGATGAGGTGATGGCTGGACAACGAAGTGAATGTACTTAATGCCACTGAACTGTACACTTAAAATGGTTAAAATGGTAAATTTTGTTATATATACATTTTTTAATTTTTTTGTTTTTTTAATCCTTACCAGAAGATATCTTTATTGATTTTAGAGAGAGAGGAAGGGTGTGGGAAGAGAAAGAAACATTGATGTGAGATAGAAACACCGATCACATCATGGCTGGTGTGGCTCAGTGGACTGAGTGCTGGCCAGTGAACCAAAAGGTCGCTGGTTCAATTCCCAGTCAAGGCACATACCTGGGTTTCGGGCCAAGGTCCCCAGTAGGGGGCACTCGAGAGGCAACCACACATTGATGTTTCTCTCCCTCCCTTCCCCTGTTTCTAGAAATAAATAAATAAAATCTTAAAAAAAAAAACAAAAACCAACAACACTGATAGCTTATCTCCCATATGCACCCTGACTAGGGATTGAACCTGTAACCTAGGTGGGAGCCCTGACTGGAAATTGAACCTGCAACCTTTTGGTATATGGAACAAAACTCCAAGAACTGAGCCACCAGCTAGGGCAGTTTTTATATATTTTTAAAAAGGTCTATGAAATGCTGGATTAAACAAAATTAAATGTTTTCTTCTTGCTGTTCATAGCACTTTTTCAAAGTTTCTAAATTATTAATGTATATTGTGGAGCTGCAAAAGTAGGGAATCTAGTAACACAACATACTCCAAATCCCAAACTTGTTTGATTCCTAAACATTTTTTCCTCTATGAAAACCAAAATAAACTGATATAAAATAGTTACCAAGACCATCTCTTAGAAATGCTACTCTATACACTGTTATAAACGCTATTTCTTCAGGCCTTGAATGACTTTCCTGGCTGGTACCAAGCTCTGATCCTGGGAGAGCTGGTCCTTTTTCTATGCCTCTGGGCTATGGGATTAGTGATACTTTCAGGCTCCAGGCGGTCTGCTCCCCTAAGATGTCCTACCTTTCACAGGTTCTCCCACTTTTTAACTTCTGGTTCCTCAAAACATATAGACTTGTTTTACCAAAAATGGAAGCAATGGGGACATGATACAGGGTAGGAGGATGGTAAGAGATGTCCCCAAACGGCATGACCATTTTTAATGCACTGGGTAGGTCTCCTTTTATACTTCATTCATTCATTCCACAAATATGTATTAAGTTCCTACTATGCGCTAAGCATGGCTCCAGGTACAATTTGAGTGGTATTACCACTTGATAGGACCATTTGTGTTCATTAATGGTCATGTAACTTGCCTATGGTAATGTGGCAATGGCCAAAATGGGGGAGGAAATTGTCAGGTTTTAATGGGCATCAAGTCTCAATACAAATATATTTTCAATAATAACTTTATTCACATACACCCTCCAAACTTTATTTGTAATAGCTTATGCAAAAACATAGGGCACAACACAGTAAAAGAGTAGATAAGAAAAGTGCCAAAGGGGAAGTAACTCATAATGAATCATAAGCCAGTACCTGCCATAATATCTTGTACATTCCTACAGATAGACTCCAGAATCTCAGAAGCAAAAAGCAATTATAGCTAACCTTATAACAAAAGCTACATTTGTTCTTTCCTTTTTTACATGGATTAATGCATATAATGCTCAAAATAATCTTATAAGATAGTTACTATTTTTATCCCCATTTTACAGATGAAAACACTGACAGGTTAAGAACTGCCAAAAGCCAGACGGATAAGAACAAGAATCAAATCCCAGAGCTTGGGCTCTTAACCACCATGCAGCCTCTCAGAACAAAGAGGAGCAAAGAATTTTAACAGTCATAATAAACACGATTTTTAAAAATCCCGAGTTTGAGCTCTTTCAGTTCTGGGGCCTGTGAGAAATTTCTTCCATGGGTTTTTGAGAAAGATCTAAGACAGCAAATGTGTTAGGCAGTAGACTAGACCCTTAGCCTCCCCTCTGCTGAGGCAACCCAGATTTGTACAACGCCAAGAAGTAAACAGCACATGTAATGGTTGCTCAAATATAAAAGTCACAGCGCTTGCACATGAAAGGAACTTCAGAGATCATATATTTGTTGAGCTGTTGGGTCTAACAAAATTCTTAGTTAGGTCTAAATACTTTTTGAAAATCCCTAGAGATTTATGCAACTTCAGCTACAAAGTCCATACCTGTTTCTTTAAATGGCCCCCACCATAAATAAGCCCTCCCTATACCTGTACATTCCCTAAGGACCTGAACTAGGCAGCAACATGACTTAAAATGCTCAAGTTCAGCCAATGGTTAAAAGGAAATTCCCCTTCCTGAACTTTCAAAACACTCCACATACTCACTTTTCTCTGCCAGAGAGACTTCGGGGCCCCTCACCTGCAATCTGTGAAAACCTGTCTGAATAAGCAACAGCCCGAGGCTTCTCAAAGGTCTGCAAATTCCCAATCAGAAATTACTGCTGTCCTGTCAATGTGTCATACAAATGTTGGCATGTTAATTGTGTATTTATAATACTGTTAATGGTTAGTTAATTTACCTCCTACACTATTATTGTACTTGAAATGATTTAACGTCTGCTGAGGGAGTTAACAACATGTAACAGCAGATGTAGGTTTCCTTTTTTTTACCTTTCCACCCTGTACCCCGACTTCATGCCGTTAGCATTAAGCAAGTTAAATGTGATTCCTATACAGGATTCCTTAAGAGTGTTATTAAGACTCTACATTTATTTTGCACAACAAGTAATGATCACAAGTTAGAAAATCAAAAGCCTTTTAATTATACACAAACCCTTCATTTATGAAAATGAAAAGACCCTGTTTTTAACTATGATTTCAACATTATTTGATCCAGTTAAAGTTCAGAATTCATATCTCCTGGAATTTGAAAATAATTGAAATGACCATTAAAATAAAATGCACTTTATTGCTTTTAAATCTATTTTTCTAACTCTCTCCAGTTTAACTCTAAATTAAATCTCCATCTTTTTAGACCAGCAAAAATTACGCCTTTTTTTCCCTCCTCGAGGAATTAAAATCTCTTTCATGTGAATATGCCTAATTTCATTAAACAGCAAATAGTGATATCCTATATCTGGAGTTTAAATTTTCCTTTCATATTTTTGTTTCTATACAGTTTGACTAAAGGCACTTGCTAGACTAAATCAAAATAATAGAGAAGCAATGTCTGCGTCTTCTTTGGAATATAATGGGATTCCTTCACTAAACGTCACCGAGAGCGAGGCACTGGGCACCCTAGGAAGAACTGGGTGAACCCTGCTCTGCACCCTCCAGAGGCTCCCAGCGTCTGTAGATACGCTGTGTCCTCCACTGACGTAACAGGAACACAGGGCGACACACACTGCCCGCCAAATGAGACACAGAGACAATATGTTTTCCGAGAGACAAGAAAATCACAGAAGGCTTCAGGAAAACAGTCCCATTTTCGGATGGCTATGCTTTCCTTAGACAGAATCACAAAGGAAACAGTAACGGGGGACGTTGACTGAGCTCCTACTGTCAGCTGTACTTCTCACACATCAACATACTTCATCCTTACAATCACCACAGGGTACAGGCATTAATATTACCCCCATTTTATAGATGAAAAATAAAGGGATTAAGTAACTTGCTTGAGGTCACATGGTGGATTTTTGAAGGCCAGTCTTTGCAGCTCCTCCCACCAAGAGGAGGTGGGGCCTAGTACAGGGCCAGCGGCACAACGGATAATGGGATAATGGGATAATGCGTTAGACCACACCAGGAGAAGAGGTGGAGTCTGTTTCCCCACAGCTACAGTCTGGGCTCACACTGTGATTTGCTTCGAGTAACAGGATGTAGTGGAAGAAATGTTGTGGGACTTCCAAACCTTGGCCACAAGAGACCTTACAGCTCCTGCTGCTGCCTTTGGCAAATATCTGAATCATGGGAAGAAGCCTGGGATGGAAGACTGCATGGAGAGGCTCAGGGGTCATTCGGGCTTTCTTGCCGAGGCTTCCCAAAGAGTGACTAAGGGCATGGGGACCAGCCAGACCCCCATCAACCTACCAGAGTAGGTCTTCTGTCCTAACAAATATCCCCTTTGACAAAGGGACACTGGTCCTTCATTTTTCTTTTCTTGTACCACTAACCTCCACCTAAAATGTCTCTGAATCTTACCATCCGCCAAGATCCAGTGAAAGGGAGCCTGGTACGGTACAGTGCCTCTCAGACTTGTCCACACCTGAAGGGCAGAGGAGAGTGGCCATGAATTAAGGTACACAGAACCCCAGGGAAGCCAACTAAAGCATCGTGCTGTAAGAAACTTATTTTAGAATTCATTCATATTTGCATCCTGCCCTATAATATACTATACCTGTATTTGTTTTAATAGAAAAAAATGTTTTGGTTCTGTACATATCACTAAGATTATACTCCAAGAAGATGTGCCATGCTGACCTTGTGGCTTCTAACACCTCCTGGCACAGACAGGGATTCTCACAACCCCAGTGTGAACAACAGCGTCTAGCGGGAAAACAGACTTCAGTGTCAGAAATACCTCCTTTTGTGAAGATAAAATAGATAACTCAGACCTAATTTTTGTTCAAAAGATATTTCCTATGGCAAATATGAAGAACAACTGGCCCTGACTGCTATGGCTCAGTGGGATGGGCATCATATAGCAAACCGAAAGGTCACCGGTTCAATTCCCAGTCAGGGCGCATGCCTGGGTTGCAGGCCAGGCCCCTGGTTGGGGGAGTACAGGAGGCAACCAATCGATGTTCCCCTGGAACACTGATGTTTCTCTCCCCTTCTACGAATAAACAAAATCCTTTAAAAATTGTAATTATTAACATCAAACGATATATAAAGTTCTAAACACAAGTTAGACTATAATCTCTATTATTTTACAGCTATTTAAAACAATCTGCATTTTCAAAGTGTTTTGAAATACTGTTTATTAGCAGCAATAGCTGTAAAACTTCAGACAACCTAACCACCCACCACCCCCAAAACTCCATGCCTACCAACATTTCTGGCAGTTAAAACTAATCTGCTAGTTTGGTATAGTGTAGCCCTAAATTATTTTTCCAATGGGTGCTGTCTCTCTGACATAATACATTTGATTGACACTTGTGATAATAAACATATCATTTTATGCTTTCCTTTAAGATTGCAGGTTAAAATGTTTATACTTTTACCTACAATGAAGAAATGATAATGCCAAAGAAATCAGATTGCTTCTCAATGTGAAATTACCAGTGTAGGTGCTAAAACCATAAATAGCACTCAACCATCTATCAAATATTCATTCATCAATTTCATTCATTTGATAAGTACCTATAAAGCACTTACTATGTGCCTGGCAATGGAAATACAACACTGAGCAATTTTAAACAATTTAAAAAGACTTGGCCACTGCCTTCCTGAGGCTGAAAGTCCCTATGATAGCCAAAATTCTAAGATGGTTCCTGGAATTCCCCTCTCTTGGCAACCTTTCCAGTCTTTTTTAGACCTTTCATCTGAGTGTGGGTGAAACCTGAGTTGCTTCTAGCCAACAGAGGTGCTGGGAGAGTCACCCCTTAATTACTTCCTATTATATAAGCCTCTATCATATCACAAACAACTGAAGAGAGAGATTCTAAGCCAGAGATTTTCCTGCAGGCCTTGACGAAGCCAAACAGCCCCGTTCTGGAACTACATATACATGGCAAGGGCCTGAGAGTGGCCTCCAGAAGCTGAAAGAGGTCCCAGTCAATGAGTAGCAAGAAAATGGGGCCCTCTGCTAACAACCTGAGCAAGCTTGGAAGAGATCATTCCATAGTCCAGCCTATAGATAAAGGTGGAGCCAGCTGATGCCTTAACTGCATCCCTTTGAGGCCCCAGCAGAAAACCCAGCTGAAGCCATGACTCCTGACCCACTGCAAAAGAGTAAATCTGTCTCATTTGAAGCCACTAAGTTCGCAATAATGTTATGCAGCAACAGAAATGAAGAGTTGTATTTCTTTAAACTTAGCCTTCTTTACCTGGCTACCTCCTACTCAGTCTTCAAAACCCAGCTCAATGGTCTGTCTTTCAAGAAACCTCCCTAATGACACCCTTAAACCAGGTTAGCTGCTTTCTTCTTTGTGGTCCACCGTCCTTTGGTCATCACCATTTCTACCAAATAATTAATCCAGCTTATTAGCAGTAGGTGCTATGTATTTGCTGGATGAATTCATTTAGCCAATATTTACTGAATGCTCACTGTGCGCCACTGCTGCAGATGCAGAGAGTGCAACAGAAAGCAAAGCAGGCAGAAAGTCCTGCCCTCATGGAGTTCACATCCTACTGCAGGAAACAGACAAAATAGAGACGTATATTATACATATGTATAGTCAAGTCAGAAGTGCTATTGGGAAAAATAATGCAGGGACAGCAATAGGGCATGCTGGATGGGTGGACCCACAACTGAAATTGTAAACAAAGTGGTCAAGAAATGCTTTACAAGAAGGTGACATGTGAGTTATCACTTAAAGGAGGTGAGTGAGCAAGCCACGTGGACTTCCGAGCAAAGTGCCTTGCCAAGCAGACAGGACACGCCTGGCGCTGCTCAAGATGGGGCAAGGAGTAGAGGATGATGTCTGGAAGAGTGAAACAAATCGTGTAGAGCCTTGCAGGCCATTCTAAGGACTCTGCTTTTACTCCAAGTGAAATGGAGAATCACGGGAGGACTGTGGGCAGAGCAGTAATATGACCTCTCATTTTAAAAGGATCTATCTGGCTGCTACGTTAGGGATTAAAGAAATGAATGAATGAATGAATGAATGAACTAATCACACTGTTTCCTATTAAAATAATAATCTGTTGATATACTGGTTTTCTCTTCTAAACTATAAGCCCCTTGAGGACACTAACTATCTTATTCATCACAATGCTGGCAGTTTCCAGCAGAATGGGGCTGGCATCCAGTAAGAGTTCAATGGGAAGAGATGAATGAATCTTTCTTGTTCCCAAGGGGTCACGCCATGATTTCCACCCCCCACAAAAAGGCTCCTTATCCATGGTGCTGGTTCAGTAGAAGGTCTCCAGCTACAGTCTAAGATTTATTTTCCTTTTATTGTCTCCTTGATTTCTGACGTTTGCTTAAACAAATAGAAGACTTCAATACAGTTACGCTTCCACTTACCTGGCTCTCAGGTTAACCACATCATCAGTTAAGGGAGGCAACAGAGTTTACTGCAATCACCACTCAGGAAACCTGAATTCCAATTCCCTAATTACCAGAGACCTAATTTCATAAGTCACTTCTTCAAACCTATTTTACACATCAGTCCATTTTTTTTTTTGCATCTATTAAACAGGCAGGTTGAACTGTAAAAGGGGCCTTTTCAGCTCTCAAATTCTACTCCAATGACTCGTGAGGAGGAGGAGGAGCGGAGGAGACTGTGACTGGGGGTTTACACTAGAGTCCAAAAAAAGTTCTGTGTGGTTTTGCTTCATGCTGTGTTCCCTCAAAGGTCAGAATCCCACTGCATGTTTTACTTACATCACTGTGCCATGGTTCAGACTCCAAGGGTACAGAGGTACAAAAAATCTTTTTTTGAAAAGAAAATTTTAATAGTATCAAGATTTTTGCTCTGGTTGGTGTGGCTCAGTGGACTGAGTGCCAGCCCACGAACCAAAGGTTAGCCTGTTGTTCAGTTCCCAGTCAGGGCACATGCCTAGGTTGTGGGCCAGGTCCCCAGCAGGGGGCACACGAGAGGCAACCACACATTGATGTTTCTCTCCCTCTCTTCCTCCCTCCCTTACCCCAATAAACAAATAAACAAATAAACAAAAAAGATTTTGGCAGCAAACCCTCTACAAAGACAAATCATGCTGATTAATTTGAATAGGCATTATCACCACCTATACTTTTAATGCTATTATGCATAGAAACTCATTCCTAAAACTCCAAAAGTTAAAGTTAATAAACACATCTGCAATTTCAGGTTACTCCCTGGTCTAAGATGAATCTTGAAAGATGGTAAGGTGGGTGGTTGGAAGAAGGGTCAGAGAGACAAACTCGTCTCTCCCAAGCAGAAGAGACAACATGAGACCAAGCAATAAAACAAGAAACTACAGAACATGCATTCAGTAACTGAAACTACATGAAATTCAGAGTTGCTGCTGAGATAAACATTTCAGAGAGACTGGGCAGGCAAGTGCACAGATTACTCTGATGGACGAGACACAAGATTGGTTATGAACTATGCTAACTCAGGGAAGAGTGGATGGAATTGTAAGGCAGTGAACGATAGGTCTATGGATTTAAGATACAGTTAAGAAATATTCAGGAGATAAAATTGGTAGAAATTGGTGACCGAGTGAACGTGGAGGGTTAAGGAGATGGGGAAAGTTTATGGTTTGCATGATAGTGCCAACAAATGAAACTGTGGGCTGAAATGTAGGAAGCCTAAGAGGTAGAACAGAAATGAGGAATTATGTTTCAGATACACTGAGCTTGAGACACCTGTGGATTACCCGACTAGAGACCCACCGTGACGCAAACCTGAGAGCCCAGGCAAAAGGTCTGAGCAAATCTGGGAGCCGACAGCATATGTGACGCACGAAGGACTGCAAACCTGAATCCTGGGAGAAAGGTCTGTGCAAATTTGGAAGACATCAACATGTAAATGACATGTGAAGCCATGGCTGCGAATGAGCTTCCCCAGGGAGAATAGGTAAGGAAGGAAGAACAGTAATACAAGGACAAATCCCAAGGAATAGCAGCAGTTAAAGGATGGGCTGAGAAAAACGAACCTCAGAAGCTGTGAAAACCAAGTCAGTCGATCTTTGTTATAATCTATTCTGTGGAATTTCACCAATTTCTAAGCAGTCACTTTCTTCACTGGCTTTTCCCTCTCCCCCCATTTCCTAGTAAGACGCTCCAACTCCTGGGCTGTGAAGTCCTTGAGAAGAAATGACGAGAAGCCTTCTTTGACTTCCTGTCACTAACACCCATGTGATTGTAGCATGAACCTGGCTAAACAGAAAAAAAAAAAAATGAAAAATTTCCCAGTGGAAGTCCCAGAACCTAAGGTTGCTTCCAGCTCAGACCGGAGCAACACAGAGCCAGAAGAGAGTGAAAGCAGGAAGGGGGTAGACTTTACGCACTGCTGGTGGGAATGTAAAATGATGCAGCCACTTCTGAAAACAGTCTGGCAGTTTCCCAAAACTTTAAATAGAGTTGCTATGTAACTCAGCAGTCCACTCCAAGGT